ATATGAATAAATGTAGTTAGCAATACTAGCAACGTACAGTGCTCGATACACGTTATAATGCAGAGCGTAAATATTGAAAATGTAGAAACTGTAGAACTGGGTATAATCACTCTACAGACTGTTTCATGCTAATGCAATCTTCAGGAGTGAGAGAATACAAGGATTGTGTGAGTATTTGAATGCTAAGGCAGGTGAAAATGCAAATGAGTTAATTGTTTTTAAGTAAGTATTTGTTGTTGTGCCTACATTTAGACAATAGCTCGATTTTTTTGTTTAGTATTGACTGTTTGTCTGAATATATTATGTGAAGTTTTTCGGTTATGCATAGGTATTTTTCGAGTGGCAACATTTTGCACAAGCTGTTCAAAAAGAACAATGTTAAAGTCAGCTATAGCTGCTCAAGAAACATGGGCAGTATAATCAGAGCCCACAACAAACAGCTTCTGGTTGCTAAGCAACAACAGCCCGATAAACTCTGCAATTGCAGGAAACAAGATGAATGTCCACTCTCTGGAAATTGCCTCACCTCATCCATCATCTACAAAGCCACTGTCCACTCAAATGATGACACAAAATGCCACATCGGGCTCACTGACACACCGTTCAAAACCCGATACACAAACCACAAATACACTTTTAACACCCCCAAACACAGAAACAGCACTGTACTCTCCAAATACGTATGGAAATTAAAAGACAGCAACACACCCTACAATATCAACTGGTCTATTATCGACAGAGCATCGGCTTACTTCTCAAAAACAAAACGCTGCAACCTATGCATAACCGAAAAACTTCACATAATATATTCAGACAAACAGTCAATACTAAACAAAAGAACCGAGATCTGGTCTAAATGCAGGCACAACAACAAATACTTACTTAAAAACAATTAACTAATTTGCATTTTCACCTGCCTTAGCATTGATATACTCACACAATCCTTGTATTCTCTCACTCCTGAAGATTGCATTAGCATGAAACAGTCTGTAGAGTGATTATACACAGTTCTACAAGTTCAATATTTATATGTATATATATATATATATATATATATATATATATATTTATATAGGCCTATATATATAAAATATATATAAAGATTTTATAGGCATATAGGATAAATCTAAAAACATAATGCATATTATTGATAATTAATTATAAACGTAATAGTAGAAGAATCAGATTTTTGAGAATGAAAAACAATTTCAGGTCTCTACCTTGGTACGAAACCGGGACCCTTCGCTTACACGGCGAACGTCTTACCAATTAGACCATGAAGGCTTTCTTTGGTCAATTCGTACCGATAGCCACTGAGAATACTTTAGAATTCTCAACGCGTCCCCATGACACCAATGTCAAAGAATGCAATTGCCTCAACGCGTGCCCCCTATCCAATAAATGCCTAACCAAAGGAATAGTATATCAGGCCACTTTCCTATGCCAAGATGACAACAACAAAATGGAAACTTATGTCGGTCTGACATAAAACACTTTTAAGGACAGATATAATGGACGTACTAGATCATTTCGCAACGAAAAGTACAAGAGCACGGCGCTTAACCAATACATTTGGAAACTTAAAGGCGAGAATATAAAATATGAAATTAAATGGAAATATGTATTAGCTAAATGCAAACCCTACTCAAATATCAGTAAACAGTAGTGTAATCTATGTTTGCTCGAGAAATACCAGTAAACCAATATAAACCATACACCAAAAAGCAGTTCCACATGCATGATTGTTATTCTGTAGTCTCATCCAGAGCCTAGCACCTGACGATTGAGGAAGTACCTCACGAAACAGCATGTAGTGCAATAAAATGTTGAATTTGTAACCAAGCGTCATCTTGTTTTTGATTTCATATTTCTCTGCCCCTAAATCGAGCACTGTTGCCTAAATGATATGGTTTCAACCTACACTACATAGTATATATATATAGATATATATATATAATAATAATAATAATAATAATAGTGTAGTTTTATATAGCGCACAAATCAGTCTAATGTAAGATGCTCAGGGCGCTTGAAATGTGGACTAGGAACTCGATCAATGACTTTCTTCGCCCCTAATGATTTTTTAGGCATATAAGATAAACCAAGAAACAAAAAGTCACATAATGCAATTAACAATTAATTATATATAATATCAAATATATATATATATACTATAATAGTATTGTATATTATATTTCATTAATACATTAGGTTAATATCATCAATGAGAATCAGGATAATCTTCAACTTATTATTAAATCAGTTTTGCGAATTAATGCTTTTGAAATAATATAAAACTAAACTTAAGAATAAATTGGATTATTTATTAATAATTTTTTTTAATGGCTTAGTTTGTCATTTATCTCTTTTTGTCATATTTTTTACTTTTGTTTTGCAACGATATACTTTTTATTTAATTTTAAACGGTTTGTTTTTTTAATACATGCAGAGTATATAATTCTCGCAACCGATGGAGCTAAGGGTTTGATATACTATGCTTTTATTGATACACCAAAACAAGAGAATATTGAGCTGACTCCTTTCCCAATCACCATCGAAGGAGGGCTCCGTGGAGTGGAATATGATCCGGTAGAGAAATACATTTATTGGACAGAAGTAAAAACTAATAAAATCAAGCGAGCCTGTTTGAACGGGTCTCATGATGAAGTTGTACGTCCCAACACAAGTATGTCTTTTGCATATTAAATTAATTTGTTTTAATTAAAGGCATGGCCTTTTAAATTAGGCATGTTTGATTATGCATCGATTATTAACCAATGCTAAATCATTAATACCAGATATTGTTTTTATTGTTTCTTATATTATTTAGAAACACCATCTTTGGTCATTGATGCTGTCAATAGGAAAATATACTTTAGTGGAACAGTATCTAAAAAGGTCTTTGAAATGAACATGGATGGTAGTGGTCACAAAGTATTATCTAGTACCCCCAAATTAAAAGAACCATCAGACATCGCTATTGACCTAACAAACGGGTAAGAAAGTTATCATTCTTTTCTCGTTTTCGCTGTACTGTTGCTGCAGAACGCATATACGCTTTAAGTGTGAATATTACTGTATTGTTAAATACAAAACATAATACGGATCAGTATTTTCAAAATACATAATTCAGAATGTTTACTGCCTTTATTTCATATTTTATATTAAGCATGCTACGTAATTGTTTGTATATCCAAATAGGTATCTTTACGTCAGTGATGTGGGGAAAAATGTCATTGAAAGAATGCTAACGGATACAGGCAAAGACCGACAAGTCGTTGTGTCTGGTGAAAAGGTTAACGGTATTGATGTGGATTTGTCAGGTAAAAAATATATTCAAAAGGTTTCGATGATAAGATTTTAATATGATCCCAAACGAAATAATTTATTGAAACTTGTACGGGGACCACTGTTATTCGCAAATACAAAAACGTAATGTACAATCCTGTTTGTCTTGTTACAGATTGTCGTTTGTATTGGACGAATCGTGTTGGAAGTCAAATACGCGGAAGTAGTTTTTCGGGTTCTGACAAAATAACAATTGCCAGTTCGACATCATTACCACAGTTGACAGAACCTGTTGACGTGACATCACTTGGAGGATACCTTTATATTTTGTCAAACTCAAGTGAAAAACTGATCCGGATATCGAAGAATGGAACGAATTTAGAATATATTGGAAACAGTGTATTTTCTGAACCGGAAACTCTTATTATTCGAAGGAGTAAGTTTATGTGTTTTGATCAAATTGTAGACTTGCAGTCTTATTTACAACATTTTAGTATTAATTACCAGCAATAATATAATCCATTATCAATTTAAAATTAACTTAACTTAACTAACTTAACTTAACTTAACTTTTAAGTTAACAATACAAGAATACCAACAACCTGCAAGGAACAAGGGCACGGCAGACCTGGTAGGCCAGGAGGACAAGGCAGACCTGGTCAACCTGACAGGCCTGGTGGACCAGGCGGAACTGGGGGACAAGGTGGATCTGGTGGACCAGGTGGGAAAGGTAGACCTGGTGGACACGGAAGTCCAGGTAGGCCTTGTAGACCAACACAAGGTAGACCTGGAGGACGAGGGGGATCTGGTAGGCCTGGAGGCTCTGGTAGACCAGGTAGGCCTGGTAGACCTTGCAGACCTGTTGGACCAGGAGGAATTCAAGATAAACCTAGTGGGCAAGTTGGTTCTGATAAACCACCAGTACACATTAAACCACAGAGATTTCTTGGACAAACAGGTTTGGATAATTTTTTCCTAGTGTTCTAATGATAATCAATTAATTTTTACAATTAATATCAACTAGTATAACACCTTTCTAGTCATTCCGATGGTCGTAATTAATTTTGAATTTTAGCTGAACTATATCGGGCACTAGTTCAAGGCTGATTTTTATAGGCACAGGAAAATGCGACATCTATGTTAATATTTTAAAAAAATATTTGTATAACAGACTTCAACACAAGTCATTTTCGCCTTCACGGCGGCTCCACTGGCGAATTAATTGCAATTAAAAATACATATGTATTACTTTTGTACGTTCGGTACAGCCCCATGACGCTATGGTGCTATGGTTTAATAGAATAACGTAAAATTATTATTACCCAGAAAACGGTTGCGGCTTAACCGGCCCTTCTCAGTTCAGGTAATACGGGGATGTGATGTGTCGTTGTGTAGCGAGTAGTAGTAATTCCATATGTGTGTGAATACTGCCACCAATGTAAACCAAATAAAACTCTTGACTTGTTGAAAATTAACGGTGAATAAGGGGTTGTACCGAACGTACAAAAGTATGTATCGATCAAGGCGCTACGTACATCAAATCTTTAAAAAAAAATATGTTTAATAATAAAATACAATGAGAAGTAAAAGGTATACTATTTTCTAAGTTGTCTATTGTTAATAGAAACAATTAAAACTGGCCTTATCTTGTCTGGTATTTTTTAAATTCGCCGATTGATTTTTACTCAAGTTATGAAATTGTTGTATATTTCTTACTTCAGAATATATCGTTTTGGTTACGGATGAAACACAAAATATGATTTATTACGCAATCATAAACAATTCAGAAACAGACAACATCGTGTTGAAACCACTCAAAGTGAAAGTCGGTGAAGGTTTAAAGGCAATAGCCTATGATCCTCTTGAGAAACAGATATACTGGTCAACATCAAAAACTGTTAAAAAAACTTACATCAATGGTACCGGTACAAAAGTGGTGCTTAAAGAGGCAGGTAAGCTATGGCGCAGCAATAATGTACTAAGTTAATTTAAAATAACTGGTGTAACGGCATTTCCACCCTTCCTCCTTTGTCCCTTATTGTTTCTAAGGTCTCATAAAGTAAGAGAATAAATATATTTAAAGATGTGTGTTTGAGGGACATGCACGTATTTCTGGTCCTTTTCTGATTGATATTTCTTTTTTTTTTTTTTGCTTGAATGGCACTTCAGAAAAATATATTTTTTGACAGTATGTTATTCTTACTGGATTCGAACGCAATACTCATATATTATCATTCAGTTGCTTTACCAACTGAAAAAGTTATTCGTGTTTGATTTTTGAAAAGGAATTAATACACGCCTAAATTTGTTATAGGTCTTAAAGCCGTAAATGAATTTCCTACCAAAATGTCCTTTTTTTAAGTACTATAATACAAATGTAGTAAATGTGTATTTGATTATGAAAATATGAGCAAGCTGAATGTGATAACAATACATGACCCAATAAGGGTTACAACTCTTGGTTAGCTTTCTCTTTATTCCATTTTGTTGACTTTGTATAATCCAATAAATAAATCTGTGTAGTTAATTTAATCTGTGTATATGGCATCTTTTTGTACCAAAAGTGGTCAAGGGGCAAAGCCCCCTAAAAATTTGACTATTTAGGGGATTCAAATGCATTTTAGAGTAAAATACAAACAATTTTGTTTTCTTCCCGACAAATTGTAGTTTTTCTCCCAGAAGGGGGAAAAGCCTTCACAACGGGGCGGGGGGTGGGGTCTTTAAACCCAACCCAGTAGCGCCGCCACTGTTTCTGTGTAGTGAAATGCCTGTACAGTAGCTACACCCTTTCTAAAAGGAAGCCATACTGAATGTAAAGAGCATTAAATTATATTAAATTATTAGAACAATTTCATTCATTACTGTTTGTTAACCTATACAGTTACATCTACTTTTCTGATAATGGCCTGAAGGCAATCGAACGGTTCCCTGCCGGGGAAAAAAAAAGGCAAACGGTTATTTCCGAAGAAGACGTTAATGGGATTTCATTTAATAGAACAGGTATGCTACTTTAAGCAACTTAACTAAATCTTTCTGTATTTACGTACCTGTATTATTATAGTGATTGTGATTCTATGAAGTTGAAAACATAGGCCCTATCTGAACAATTACAACGATATAAAGTTCTAATATTGACAAACTTATGGATGCAATGCAGTAACGTGGTTCTATGGTATTTCTTTTATTAAGAGGCCTACGCTGTTCTGCAATTTCCTTCAACAGTGAGCAGTAGGGGAGTGGTAAATCGTGACAATTTGGACTATTTTGTCATTGTGTAATAACGCTTTGATCATATTATGCCCCTCAAAATTAATTGTTTACCGTTGTCTCTAAAAGTCTAGCGCTCTAGACTTACGGGGACGGGGTTTGGTAAACTCCCCTAAATGTTTCTCTACTCTCCCTGCTAACGCCGCCATTGCATACCATGGCAAAACCGGTGTTTTAAAGTGTTTCATTTTTGCAAGCATGTACCATGTACTGTGTTTTATGTTTTTATATGATTGTTGTTGAATAAAGAAATATTTTAATTGAAAACAACGTGAATAATTGCAGGATGTAGGCTGATATGGACAAATAAAGAAGCTGGTAAAATTCGCTCCAGTACTGTTTTGGGAAAGAACATAACTACTATTGTTGGTCCTCCCAAGAACACACTGTTTAAAAATCCAACAGATACAGCGGTGTTTGGTGATTACCTATTTGTTGTCTCACAAAATGAAAACAAACTGGTTAGAATTTCGAAGGACAAACATACGATTAAATCATCGACTGTTGGAAATGCAGTTCTTAAAAATCCTGGAAGGATTATAATCCAAAAAGGTTAGTCACAAGGAACATTTCCGAGGTGTCAACCAACAACTGACCAATTTAGAATATGCCCAGGCGTTTACTGAGGGAAAAAAAAACAATCTTTGGTTAGCTTCCTTACAAATACTTTCAGTATTAGAATTCCAATTTAGTTTGGAATCTATTATTGTACCCAAGTATTTGGGTTCGTCAGTGATTTTAATAAGTTTGCCATTTAGGATAATATTATCTATCCTAAGATTAGTTTTCCGGAAGTCAAACACGATTTCTTTAGTTTTATCGGTATTAGGCTTGAGACAATTATTATTGTACCATGTAATAGAACTGTGTATGTGGTCTCTGTGGAGGAACTCATCGCTACCTTTAATTCTATGTTCCATTCACTCACCTGATGAAGCCAGAATCTACTGTTGGCTAAAGTGTGGAATAAATATCATCTACTAAGTTAGTCTAGAGTGCTATACAGTGTTTATTTTGTCTGGTAAATGAGTATTATATATTATTATATACAATACTACATGCAGTTAATTATGTTTGATGTTTATAACAACAAATGTATTACAGGTAGGCCTATTTGACTTCTGTCTATTAAATTTCATGTGTATTTTATGTTACAATAATCATAATAATAATATCAAAATTATTCTTGAAGCTTGTTAATTATCTTATTCAGTCAACAGTGTGGAAGACAACAAATGTAGTAAAGGCACGTTTGATGATTTACCACAAACAGGTAAGAAGCGAATACTACATCTAATGTGTTTTAAAGCCCAGCTCATTGTCGAACGAAGCAGCCCGATACGAAGTATCGTTGGGAACATTCTTTATATCCCCGACGCAGACCTATCGCGTCATTGTTGAACTCGCACAGACCAGACGCGACAACAAAATCGCGTTAGACTGCGTCGTACGACACTGCCTAAGCGGGCCTTTATAGATAATGTTCAGACGCTTTTAACCAATACCATTCTTCCCATCCCGGCCACATACTTTCTAATTCGATGTGTTATTTCTATGGGTTTTAACAATTTGACTGTGATCATTCTTTCTGCCCTTTGATATTTTTTACATCTCAATTTGATATCGTCTGCAGCTGTGCTGCTTAAACTCCTTACATCGTAACCACTCCAGACCTCTTCTGTTCCCCCACCCCCCGCTTGTAAGCCATGCTGTCTTTCTATACCATTGGTACTATTATTTCGTTCATTACCGTATTACCACGATCATCACCAACACCACTAATATCATCCTCTCAACCATTATTATTATTATTATTATTATTATTATTATTATTATTATTATTATTATTATTATTATTATTATTATTATTATTATTATTGTTGTTTTTGTTGTTATCATCATCATCATTATTATTATAAATATATTATTATTATTATCATCATTATTTTTATTATTATTTCGATTTATTTCAAAATTCACATTCATATTTACATGTATGATTACAATAGAAATTTAAAGTATGCGTAAAACATTAAAATTAACATAAAAATCTGAAAATGAGATGTAAGGCATTGCATTGGAAGCAAAACTATTAACATCTAACCCTTTTAAATGATAAGATAAAAAAAAAACTATCTATGCCTAATTAAGAAAACTATAAAGGTAAAGCTATCCCCCGCCTGACATAATCCCGGTATATATGTGTCAAGGTTTCAGGGCCTGAATAAAGATTGTTTATTATTATTATTATTATTATTATTATTATTATTATTATTATTATTATTATTATTATTATTATTATTATTATTATTATTATTGTTATTGTTATTGTTATTGTTATTGTTATTATTGTTATTGTTATTGTTATTATTATTGTTGTTGTTGGCCTGAATAAAGATTGTTTATTATTATTATTATTATTATTATTATTATTATTATTATTATTATTATTATTATTATTATTATTGTTGTTGTTGCTGTTGCTGTTGCTGTTGCTGCTGCTGCTGCACTGCTGTTGAAATTTGTTGGTGTTTCCGTTGTTACTGCTGTTGTTGCCAATTCTGTTGTGTTTGGTGTTGATGTGCTTATAGTGCTGTTGTTTTAGCTGTGCCTTCGTTGATACTAGGCCTTGTTGTGGCTGCTTCTGTTGTTGTTAATGCTGTTCTTACCTGATGCTGTTGCTGTTGCTGCTACTGTTGTTGTGTGGTAGTGTTGTATCTGTTGTTGCTATTGTTATTATTGTTGCTGATTCTATTTTTTTTTGCTCCTGATGTTGATGCTATTGCTGCTGCTATTGTTATGGTGATGGCATTGTGTCTTCTGTTGTTGATATTGATACTATTGTTGTCTTCATCTTTCACAGGGCTAAATATTTCCGAGGTAAAAAGATTCATGGTGAATTTGATATCCGAGTGGAACAAGTTAGTATATAATTTATTAATAACCATCATTTTTTAAATTGATAATTAAAAATTATACTAGGAACTTGAAATAAATTGCCCAATAAATTTCATTAAATGAATGGATCAAAGAAAATAAAGATTGCCCCTAGTATTAACTATTAATTGAATATGAATGTATTTATCGGTCACCTGAATATGATTATGACACAATGTTATATTGCAACATTTTTAAATTATACTAGGAAAACGAAAAATGAGTTCTTTACAACGACTCATGGGATGGACGCAAAGCGCAAACTCGGAGTATCAGCCACAATGTCAAATTTTGGAACCAGGTCAGAATGTCCCGGTCAAATATTTGAACCATGCAGGTATGTTGGTAGATCTTCGGAAAGTAATAAGCCAAAGTGCGCATGCTTGTATCCAAGTTCAATTCGACATAAACCTATATTATGTCAATTGACCTTGTTTTTGTGTGAATAGGATATGTGTGCGTTGGTATCGTTATTGTTTTACCGTTATTGCTAGCCAGTATAATAAACTTATAACGTGTAAAAATATTTAGGCTTATATATATTATGGCAAATAACTATAACAAAATAAAAATCTGGTACTTTAGGTGTACAAAATATATTCTTTCTCTCACATAAAAACACCAACCAGACTAATATATCATATGGTATTTCGTAAATTTTGTTTCTATTTTTTCCTTTCATAGTTGGGACGGTCTCAAAAACATTCATGACATCGGACTGGTTGCCCGTTTATAGTAACGCGACAATTCATTTTAGTGTTCATGTTAATTCTACTGAAAGTAAGTACTGTATGTCGTAATTATACATTCAATCTTGAAGCCTTCATTGTTATTCTCCAATAAGCCAATTCGTAGTTGGAGCTGCGCATGCTCGGTCAATCCACATAAACCTATGTTGTGTGTATATCGATTGACCTTGATACGAGCGGGCGCGGTTCGGACTACGAATCGGCTTATCACAAAATGTGCTACGGGTTGCTTGACCTTTTTGGTTAAGTTATTCGTCTAATAATTTCCATCTAGTGTATGATTTGCAACTATACTAATTGCTTTATTTAACTAAACTGCCTGCATTTTTTTAATCGTTTTTTCTTTCTATTAATCATTGTCAACTGTATGTTTCTTTATGTACCTTCTTGTATTCTTATTTTTTTTTTTTTTCTTTTTGAACTTTGGCAGGGTTTTTTGTTTTAGTCATCTGCCAAACAATTCAATTTTCTGTATTTTTATTTGGACAAATACAATTTCTTGAATATTGAAAAATCAACAGAGATCACATTATTCATATACCGAATTTGATTTACTCGCTAAGGAGGCCTGAGTACACAATATTTTATTAAACCTATTTATTTTACCTCAGTATACAGATCCTGAGACTTTGAAGCAGAAATTTCTATGATACCATCCATTTTATTCTAGATTGTATTTTTCTGAAGTTGATTTAATTTACTTGTATTTCAGTTTGGGATGAGATTTGTAGCACTTCAATGATTTGGAATTTCGCTTACGAAAAGAAAATAAAAAAAAGATATATGTAAGTTAACGTGGCAGTTCATTTAGTACTAGGTTACTTGTTACACTTTTTGTTCAGCTTGGTTTCCATAAAATCGCTAAAATGCTACGCTGACTCCTTTCGGTGATGCTTATTGTTCAGTCGAATTTGGGAGCTTTCCTGATGGTGCTGCGGAGAGCTCACGGTGCAAAGATTATTGTGAAAACGCTGTAGCGATTTTATGAAAACCGGTTTCTGCACAACGCTATCCACGCGAATTGGATATACTGCTTGATTTGCAGATAAGATAGAGTTTTAAGATGATGTATTTTATAACAATATTTTACTTCAGGGGCGGATCCAGAAATGTCCAAAAGGGGGGGCCGGAAGCGGGGGTCGAAAGTTGGGCCAATTGAGACAACACTGGCGTAGGGGGTCTGGGGCATGCCCCCGCGAAATTCTTGGTCTCTGTGGAGGAACTCATCGCTACCTTTTTTGTGTTCTAGACGCCCGAACATAACATTTGAGGCATTCTGGGCTATCATTTTTTTCTTTTTCTCTCTTTTTCTTCCTTTTTTCCCTTTTTTTACCTCCCAAAAGGGGGGCCGGGGCCGGGCCGGCCCCCCCCTAAATCCGCCCCTGTACTTGAAAGTGTTAATTCAAATTTGTTCCAGGAATGATATTACCTGCAACTCAACTGGAGTGGAGTTGAATAGCTTGGAGGTTAAGATGTTTGCCTTCCAATTCCAGGGCCCGGGGGCTCAATTCTTGTTACTAAATTCTCAAGACTAAAAACAACTCCACTCCATAAGCCTCATAGTGAGACTTAGTTTACGTCAAAGATCTTATAAACACAAGATAGCGTTCTCCGCGATTTACGCGTAACAAATAGAAGCGTCGGTCAAGGTTCAAAAGTTTCCCATTTAGCAAGAGGGCGTCATTCATGCGCTATTACCGAAGAGAAAAAGTAATAAGTACATACATACACAACATTTAGCGTTATCGCATGGAGCCGGGATCAGATCGTTCGAAGCGTGGATTATATAGCTCATTCATCAGCTTTCTTCTCTCCTAAGGGTCTCTTCGTATCTGAGCTACCCAGTAAACTACCCTCGTATGTTCACAACAGGGGATGTATGAACCATATGTAGCTTAAATAGTTGATGTAGCCGTTCAAGTCTTAACAATAGAATAATAAACGCATATGTTTGTCAGAACCTATTACGACAGTTACTGGAATAAACGCCTCATGGAACATATCATATTATTACTGCAATACCAGCATATGGTACACGACGGACCCATACTCCTAAATAGAAAAGTCACAATCGAAGTTTTGAACCTCTGATCTAAAGTTTGGCAGCCAACTGGTACTTACTTACGCAATTAAAACAAGTGAAAAAGAAAGAATACGTCACAATAATACTTCTAAGGTTTCTAGAGTTTAACCCATCTTTAACACGTTTCATTTGGCGGTCTATTCTAAGAAAACGAATAGCATATTTAATGATGTTGTTGTTAGTATAATGTTTGCATTTAATTATTTACTTATATCCTGTATTTTTATTAAACAGTATCTTTTTTTTTATAGTTCATTTTTAATTCTGACAAGAAAGCTGGTAAACCTGTTTGTGTCTACGTGGATACAACAAAATTGTAAGATCCTTATCATCAGAATTAAAAATACACTTTGACATCAAAGAAATGGCGTCACACCGTTAATCTCACTAGATAAATTCATGGTAGTCCTAAACGTCTGTACTGCAGAATAGTACGTCGGCAATGAATAATCTATATCATGTGGTGCCTTTATAAACTGTGTCTGAGTGCCTTATAAACTTAATGATTAATTGGTTGGTTGGTTGGTTGGTTGATTGATTGGTTGACCGGTTGATTAATTAATTGATTGATTGATCGGTTAGTTGTTTGTTTGTTTGTTTGTTTGATTGATTGATTGATTGATTGATTGATTGATTAATTGATCGGTTGGTTGATCGGTCGGTTGTTTGATTGATTGATTGATTGATTGACTGGCTGACTGACTGACTGACTGACTGATTGATTGATTGATTGATTGATGGATTAATTGATCGATCGATCGATCGATCATCGATTGATTGACCGACCGACCTACTGATTGATTGATTGATTGATTAATTAATAAGAAAGTGTGTGAATGCTCGTAATAATTTGAAGTTCTTAAATTTCACTAAAAATTTGTACGATTTATAATATGATATACAAAAAAAATGCAAATTACAATTTAAGTCTATGATTCTTTTTACCGACAGTGAGTTCTCATCTGCTGGTTGTGTAACAGACACTACAAATTTCACTGCTAATGGCGTGGTTTGTCATTGTGAAGAAGGACGTACATTCATATTGCTTAATGAAAGTCCGCCAGTTGTAAGTTAATCAATTACGTATAGTTTGTATACTTATGCCTAGTCTTGTACACAGTTGTGTATAGTTCCTTTACCATAAAGTATTTCTAAAATAGATTGACGCTATTAGTTATGCTCTCTCATTGATGTACAAAATATTCGAGCGCATAATCTACCACCAAACTTACAACTACTACCTTCACAGATAAACAATATCTTATATCAAACAATGTTTTCGAAAGAATTACAATACATCTACTATTATATTGTAGGAGCCTTTGAGCGAAATGGACCATTCCACTAAGCCCCGCCCCTTGGATACTGTTGCTAAGGTCCCACAGGACGACACAGTGTTAAAACATGCGTGAACCACTGGGGGCCGGATTTATCAAATTAGAAATCAGCTTAAGTTCATCATGATAAGTCCCGGTTGTTCTGCTTAAGTCAAATTTATCACTATTGCTTTAATTAAAAAATCCATTGTACGCATGAACCATCTAAGAAGACATTAAGGCTAAGATTTTGCTAAGATGGTTTGATAAATCAGCTTAAGATATTTGCTTTGGACTTCTAAACTTTTTTGACTTAACATGGGCGGCGGAACCGGGGGGGCCGGGGGGGCCCGGGCCCCCCCACTTTTTGGCGAAAAATATATAATGTCTGGAGAACTTTGTATGATCTGAAATGCAAAAAAAGGAGGGAAGGAAGAAGGAGAAGGATGGGAAAGAGAATGTTTATCCAGTACCCGACCGAGTTACATTTTCTCGCAATTCAAATTGGTGGATCTGGGAGGAGGGGATCATGGGTCCTGACCCCTCCCTTGTGCTACAAAAAGAAGGGGAAAAAGAAGAGGATTCTAGACCTACCTTTTCAGGACCCGTGAGCTGATTTTTTTTT